TGAATTCATGCACAGGTGGGGTCCGGCTGGCCTGCCCTGATGGGGGCTGATCAGGGCCAGGCCGGCATCAGGGAGGGGCTGTGGGAGGTCGGCGGGCCCCACCCCTGATGGAGGGAGGGCCAATCGGGGGAGGGGCTGGCGGGGAGGGGGTGCAGGAGGTTGGCCGTCTGGCCCCGCCCTTGATCAGACCATTTGGCCAGCCGCAGTGGGCATCATAGCGACCAGTCATTCCAGTCATTCTGGTCATTCCAGTGTTCTGGTCGCTGGCTTTTTATATATATAGAGATGCTGTAAGAAACAGCTTATTACTTACTGTCAGGATTTTTTCATAGAGATGATACATTTATTTTATAATTAATTGATGACAAAAATATTGTTCCCTGATGGGTGTATATCAAGCTTTGTTGTGGGCAGTGAAAGGTATATAGCCAGCATGTTTTTACTATGATATTTTCTTCACTATTCTTAGGGGAAATAATTTGGCAATTCCAATTTGATGTGCTCATATCACTATCTTCTAATGTTGTAGACTGAACTTTTGTGACCCTCGATAGTTCATATATTGAAGCCCTAAACCCCAAGGTGGTTGTCTTTGGAGAACTTTCTTCTCTCCTTCTCTCTCTCTCTCTCTCTCTCTCTCTCTCTCCATTCTCCGCCCCCTGTACACAAAGAAGAGGCCATCTGAAGACACAGCAAGATGGTGGCTGTCTATCAGCTATAAGCTATGAGAAAAGTCCTCAGAATGAAACTTATCTTTCTGACACCTTGTTACCCTAATCTTGGACTTCCAGCCTCCAAAACTGTGAGAAATAAATTTCTGCTGTTTAAGCTACTCAGTCTGTAGTATTTTGTCATGGCAACCAACTCAAGCAGTCTGATATACTACAGCACATTAAATCCACTCCATGATGGACAATAACAAGCTAACTATTAGAATATGAAGATTTTGTTTTTATTTTTAGATTATTGTCTTACTATTTAACTTTAAATCCACTTTTCCACCTCATTCACCTCAATGACTAGCAAGCCATCTGAATTAGGCAAATAAACTTTGAAGTTTATTTCTTTCAAGTATATAAATTCTTCAGGGTTGGAAGAGAGATTAATAATCATCCAGTAAAAAACATTTCATTTTATAAATGAGAAAACTCAAGTCCAAAGAGTTCATTGGTCACAGGACCAAAACCAAACCCGATATCCTTGAACGCTCAGGGATTATTGATTAGTGTTGATTATTTCTTGATGCCAATGTAGAGTACCAGCTCCAAGTTCTTCATTGCCTACAAGCTAACTGGTTAGAATCCAGCTGTATTCAAAGCCATTTTGTAGAACTTGTTTGATGTGGAAGCTAACCACAATGTAATTACACTGCAATTTATACATTAAAAGACATAGGAAGATAGATGGACCTAAGTTTAAAGTTGGCACCATCCCGTAATAACAGAGTGACCAGGACAGGTGTTATGAAGTTCAGTTTCTTATCTGTAATAGAGAGGAAGCAATCAATACCTGTGTCATGAGCTGCTTGTGGAAATTTAGTAGATCATTCATTGAAAGCACTCAGCATCATTTTTGGAGTGCTCAATAGAAGTTGGCAGTCTGGACCACGTATCTTCTTTTCCCATACAATCAACTACTTGTTAGAGGTAAGCTTTTACTTGAGTTCCCAGCTGGTCATCACTGTGGTTTGGTAGGGCACCAATTGAAGTAAAAGAAGAACAGAGAATGTAAGATGGACCTGCCAACAACTACAACAGGTGAGAGTGGGCAGTCAGGGAGCAGGAAGGAGGGGAAGTCAGATTGGGAAGCCTCTGTATGAGATGAACTCACATGCTATCTGAAGGTCAATAGCTTACAAGGAAAAAGAACAGGAGCAAGGAAATAAAATTCTCTTAAATAATGGGGCTCCGGTTGTGATTTATGAGGGAGATCCAACTGAGGATTATTTGATCAGCTGACTGCACAGTGCCTTGGACCTTTGATGAGGAGGTTTCATGAAACATTGTGATTCACACCTGCAGGGGGACAGAAGGTAAAAGGAAAGCATGCGAATCAATGTTGCCTTTTTATTAATTCATGAAAATTCAAGTTGTGTAAAATTAAAGGTTCTCAGATTTGGTCTAAAGCAAATAAGTGTTTTCTGGAGGTGAGTTACAATTTCCCAGGAGAGAACGTCACTCTTGAGTTATTGTTTTCATTTTCTAGAATGATGTTTTATTTTTTAATTTAAATTTTAATCAAAGTACTATGTACCAATGTAAAAAAAAATCAAATAGTTCAAAAGTTATTTATCAAAGGAGAATCAGGCTCCTCCTTCTGATCCCCATTCCTAACCACAGGGACCACAACTTTTAACTCCGCCTGTTTTTGTTTCTCTTCCAGATAATGTGCCTCTAA